GGAAGTAATGAGGCTAGTCCCCCCAGAATGAAGAAGTAGTGGGGCCCCCTTCCCGCATATGCGCCTTTATTTAGATTCTTTCTATTTTTTAATTATTTATCCAATGGGGAATCTTTCTAAAAAAATATCTCTGGCAAAACAAAACGCAATTCGTCGAAGGGAAAAAAAAGAAAGAAGAGAAAGAGAGGGAAGTTTTGTCTTTCTTTCAATCAAAATAAGAGAACAAAGAAACCACTCAAAAATGAAAGTTAGAAAAAGAAGTTTCCGTAAGAACTAGCGCTAGACTTCTTCCCCCCTTTCTACTTTTCCTCTCTCCCTTTGTTTGTGCTTCTACCCGGGCTTTTCATTCTGTTTTATAGAGACCCGAGGAAATAAAAAAAAAAATTGTAGAAGGGTGAGGCACTTTCCCCGGCATACGGAAACAAAAATCCAGGATGACGGCTTTCAAAAAACGAGTAAGAGACGGGGAGGGGGAGGCCCTCGAAACCAAACGGAGACTAAAAGAAAATGAATTAGCACACATTCCTATGATTTTTCTAACATCCACTTTCATCCCTCCACCTCTACTCCTGTCTCGTTTTCTCCTCCCTTCATCTGGGTATCAATTTTTATTTTTTGATTCGCGTAGGTAGACGAGCACAGTTCAATCTTATTGTGGAATTTTGTGTTTCTGATGATTTACCGGATTGGTGAGAATGAAACGGAGTGTGATCTTTCACACTATCCTACAAGTGTTTTATTTTTTCAATTTGACCTGGAGTAGGCTATTAAACAAGAGATGAAAAAAGCCCGAGGTAAGAGCAGCAGCTCCCACAAACTAGAAGGCGTTTGCAGAGAGGAGGACAGGAAAAAAAAAAGAAAAAAAACTAGTTAGAAGGACAGGGAAAGGGGGGGCAGAGGTGTGGGTGGTTGATGAGAGGTTGGTTTTTCCCTAAAGCGGGGTGAAGTGGGAAGAAAGGAAGAAGGGGGGACAGAAAAGAAAAGGCTAGCGTAAGTTCTTACGGAAACTTCTTTTTCAACGTTCAGTTTTTTTGAGCGTGGTTTTTTCTTTGTTCTCGTTTAGGTTTTCCGTATGCATGAAAAGAACACGACAACAACTACATCTATTTCTCACTTTCATTTTTGTCTGTTTTTGTTTTTTTTTTCCCTGTCGACGATGATGAATTGCGTTGTTTTGCCGAGATCTTTTTTAGAACGAATTCCCCACTCTTCAGGAACTTGATATGATGTAATTAAAAATGTAAAGCAAAGAATCTAATTTATCAATAGGCGCAACTCATGCGGGGAAGGGCCGGCCAATGACCACCGCTTCATTCTAGGTGGGACACACTTTTTTTTTTTTTTTTTTTTTTTTTTTTTTTTTTTTTTTTTTTTTTTTTTTTTTTTTTTTTTTTTTTTTTTTTTTTTTTTTTTTTTTTTTTTTTTTTTTTTTTTTTTTTTTTTTTTTTTTTTTTTTTTTTTTTTTTTTTTTTTTTTTTTTTTTTTTTTTTTTTTTTTTTTTTTTTTTTTTTTTTTTTTTTTTTTTTTTTTTTTTTTTTTTTTTTTTTTTTTTTTTTTTTTTTTTTTTTTTTTTTTTTTTTTTTTTTTTTTTTTTTTTTTTTTTTTTTTTTTTTTTTTTTTTTTTTTTTTTTTTTTTTTTTTTTTTTTTTTTTTTTTTTTTTTTTTTTTTTTTTTTTTTTTTTTTTTTTTTTTTTTTTTTTTTTTTTTTTTTTTTTTAAAAATATATCATTCCTCACTTGGAACTGAACATAATGGTTTGGTAAGTCATTACTTGCATTCCTCAAGAGGAGCCAAAAACTCATTTGATGGTTCAATTTGAAGTGAACTAAGCCTTCATTTTTCTTCACCCAGATTGTAAAGAATTGTAGCAAACAGTACTAAGTACCAAGCAAGAAGCTCTGTTACTTAATTGAGAAACGGACCTGAAGCTCCGACTCTATTTTCAATAACTCAGACATCAGGTTTCTTGGTTCCAGTTCATGAGACAATCACTTAACATGCAAATAAATACGATATGATATGACAGTGACGTAATGTGCTGTGGTAACTGGTAACACACCGTAACTTATTTTGGATACTAATAAATGAAGCTGATTATATTGGTAAACTGATTTTCTTCTCCTGGTTGGCCTTGAGCTAGCAACCTGATCATGTTCGTATAAGCTATAGCGAACTACTACATAGGCTGAAACATCGTAATTCTTCAAATGGTTGTGTGGGTTATGTTGTTTGGGAAGATACAAATGGAGCTGCAGTTACTTCTGGAACAGAAATTTCAAAGGTCCAGCAAACACTTGTGAAAGAAGGCGTTACAAAAGTAAAGGTATCTAAGCATCGTGTTTTTCTCCTTGGAGAGAACCGCTGGAAAGATTCGTCTAGACTTAGCAGGAACCAAAAAAAAGTAGGTGAAAGCAAGACAATGAATACCACAACAAGGTGTCTTACTTGTCGAGGGGAGGGTCGCTTATTGTGCGCAGGTACCTCCTGTCTGTCTCCCGTCTTAGTCACTATATTCAAGTTTATAAATCATTGCCATGCTATGCTAAACTTTTGCAGAAGTACTCTAAATCCACCCATACTATGAATTTGTATATTTATTTTGTTTGATCTGATTTTTAAATATAATGTTGAACACCAATGGCTTTGATGATGATATGCATTAGTTTTATTTTTGTACTTTTGCATATTTTGTTTCAACTATCCTCAGTCCCCTTGGTAGCTTATCTGTATTTCTTTGTTGCAGAATGTGATGGAACAGGCGAGCCAAACATTGAAGAACAGGTTAGAGGTTTCAAACACAGATATTAATATTCTCATTTTCGAGCATTATCCATCCAGGATGAAGTTTTAATTATTTTGTTAAATGACAGCAGTTCTTGGATTGGGTGGAAGAAGGAGCAAAATGTCCATATTGTGAAGGTCATGGGTTTACAATTTGCGACGTATGTGAAGGGGCAACAGTAGCTTAGGTATCAAAATATCTTCCCATAAAGACGTGCAGTTTTATGCTTTAGTACATGTGTTTAATGGTAGTTTGCATTTATAAACAAATGCTGAAAATCATATGTATATCTACAGTTTATTATATAAGTCAACGGGGTCTAGCTTAGTGAAAAAGGACAATGACTTGCAAACCAGAGATCTCATGCTCGAACCACGACATCATACTTGTTTGTGTGTGTGGAAAATTCCCCTCCCCTTTTAGACTATTGCTTGTACTATAAAATAATAATAATAAAAAAAAAAAAAAAAAAAAAAACGTTATACTTGGAAATTAAAGAGAAAAATAAAAAGGGAAGTTGCCAGTCGGCAAATTTAATACTTGATCAATAATTCAACAGACCAATTGTTATGAATACACGCTATCTCCTCGTGTAATGGAAGGCAAAGCAAGGCCAAGGGTTAACAATTTTTGGCATGGAGTTACTGTGCTTTTTTCCCATTTCTCTGTATTGTTGGCTGGGGTAACAATTTTTACCTTAATAAGATGAAAACCAAATCCAGTATGAAGTAAGTTAATTTAACCATTACTCAATAGGACGTGTTAATGCAAATAATAAACCGAGATTTAACATTTAACTGTTATATATATATGTATGTATATGTATAAGTAGATATTGTCATTTCTTTATATGGTATTCTAGGAATTCTTAAAAAATTATATAAAGAAGAAATTAATCTATTTGAGCATTTTGAGCACTAATATCGCAAGAAGAAATAACTCTAGCCCAGTTGGGTAAAATGGTATTTTAGCCCACCTAGGCCGATTTTTGGAACAATGCGATTGACTGAAAGTCTAGAAAAAATTTAGCTGCAAATTTGAGCTTGAGACTTTTTCTCCTTGATTTTCCTTTGTCGATAAGTCTAGTCTAGAGCATTATCCATTACATTTAGGCAATTACCAAGGTATAAGTATTGTCCCCCTTTGATTTTTTAATTTTTCAGAGTTATTACCTGTATAAAGAATTTAGCATTTCCCCATTTAATACTCATATTATACACGTACGTACGTATTTGTCAATAGTACTTCCATTTTCCGTATACGTCTTAAAGACTCGGTATAATGAAAGCAAACGTATTGTACACGTACGCAAGTATTTTAATGATTATTTAATTCAAAAAAATTAATTACTGTATTTACCAAGTAATTCAAGAAATTGAGTAAAATATTTAAATATTCACTAAAGAAATAATAATTAAAACATAATCACTAATTAAAGTAATTAAAAAAGGGCTAAGGTATTACCTAATTACATGTATTGAATTGAAGAAGTTGGCCCAAAAGCAAAAGTAAAGAAACTAATTTAAAAATTACGTGTATTGTATTGAATAGTATTTAGTTGTTAAAATTTTTGAATTTGATAAAATTCTTAAATACGAATTATTCACCAAGTAAACAATAATTAAAACATAAGTAAGAATTAATGTAATTAAAAAAGAGAAATTCAGATTATGGTATTTGTAGAGTATAGCTGGGCTGCTGTACTTTTAAAAATGTTCTATTTAGAGAGTATAATATAGTCACGCGGCGATACTCTTTGAAATAAATAAATTGGGCAGCATAGGAGCTATGCGGGTCCTTTTAAATAAAAATAAACAATATAGCCGATCGTCTATACTCTTTAAATATCTAATGGGTGCCTTTTCAATTTACAAAGGAGACTCTGCTCAAAATTTTTTGGTTGACTCTTAGTAAGTGGGCCTGGCATCAGGGTGATGTCGGTATTAAGGCGGGATTCGTCTAGATTTTCGAGAAAATTCGAGGCGGGTCCTGTCACTAATTATTCACCAAGTAAACAATAATTAAAACATAAGTAAGAATTAATGTAATTAAAAAAGAGAAATTCAGATTATGGTATTTGTAGAGTATAGCCGGGCGGCTGTACGTTTAAAAATATTCTATTTGGAGTATAGTATAGCCGCGCGGCTGTACGCTTTGAAATAAATAAATAAATAAATGGGGCCGCATAGGAGCTATGCGGGTCCTTTTAAATAAAAATAAACAATATAGCCGGGCGGCTGTACATTTAAAAATATTCTATTTGGAGAGTATGCCGCATGGCCATACTCTTTGAAATAAATAAATGGGGCCGCATAGGAGCTATGCGGGTCCTTTTAAATAAAAATAAACAATATAGCCGGGCGGCTGTACATTTAAAAATATTCTATTTGGAGAGTATGCCGCATGTTTTTTTTTTTTTTTTTTTTTTTTTTTTTTTTTTTTTTTTTTTTTTTTTTTTTTTTTTTTTTTTTTTTTTTTTTTTTTTTTTTTTTTTTTTTTTTTTTTTTTTTTTTTTTTTTTTTTTTTTTTTTTTTTTTTTTTTTTTTTTTTTTTTTTTTTTTTTTTTTTTTTTTTTTTTTTTTTTTTTTTTTTTTTTTTTTTTTTTTTTTTTTTTTTTTTTTTTTTTTTTTTTTTTTTTTTTTTTTTTTTTTTTTTTTTTTTTTTTTTTTTTTTTTTTTTTTTTTTTTTTTTTTTTTTTTTTTTTTTTTTTTTTTTTTTTTTTTTTTTTTTTTTTTTTTTTTTTTTTTTTTTTTTTTTTTTTTTTTTTTTTTTTTTTTTTTTTTTTTTTTTTTTTAATATAAAGTTGTTTCTGCTTTGTGACTAAGCAAGGGAAATAGTGTGATTTTATATAAGTGGAGTGGAAGGTGGAAGCCATATATACAAGCAATTACTAATTTCCCTGATCCCTTCAAGTCCACTATCCGATCAGCTAGGAAATTTCAGACATTTGCGCCTCCTTGCTCTTTCGAGTAATTCAATATCAGGTCCAATTCCAGTGTCCTTGGGGAAATCTGTCATTCCTAGAAGACGCAAGCATTTCTGAAAATCATTTTAATCGAACTCTTCCAAAAACTACTGGTCAACTCAAAATTATGTAAAGAGTATAGCTGGTCGGCTATAATATTTATAAAAAAAGACCACAGTAATGCTGGACGGCTATAATTTTTAAAAAATATATACATCGTATATCCGTGCGGCTATACTATAAACTGTCGTATAGCCGCGCGGCTAGACTGTTTATATTATAAAAAGAGACCCGCCTGTCTGCCTAGTGCCCATTTCGCCACGTGTCATAAATAGTATAGCTGTACACTATACTAATTTTTTAAATAATAAATACCGTAGTATGGCCGGTCGGCTATACTCTGTTTATTATTAAAATAAACCCCGAGTTGGAAAAGGTTTGATGATGGTTTGGCGGGCAACCAATCCTAATGCTAGAGGTTTTCCTGTTGACATGGGTTTTGCTAACTTGTGTATCGCGAAAACCAGTAACTCAGAACAGAAGATTGCAACACCAAAAATGTGATTTAGTCTGTATTGCTTGCAGATATGTGAGAAAGACTCTGCCAAGCAAAGAAAAAATGTGAACTTGCTTTGGAAGGAGCAGATTCCCAAGAACACTCAGATAAGATCGCAATGCTTGTGGATGATGAAGAGCTGGAGCTGAGAGAATTACAAGGAAGCCCAAATGCACTGGGGTTCTCTGATCATTTTACTACTAATGGATATCATGCCTGTTCACTTTGCAAAGGTTGGTTTGAGGGAAGAACAGAACAAATTTTCCACTCTAAAATGAAATGCTGTAATATGTATGTGTCTGCATGTATAATATTTTGAGCCGTGGATAAGGAATTTTTGGGATTTCAGATTTGCTGGCCAAGTTTCCTCCAAATTCTGTGAAGATGAAGTAGCCATTCGGTATGCAACCTTGGGATTCTTCTCCAGAGATTGTCAAGAAACTGTTCAAGGTATGTGAATTGCAAACTGTTTGTGGCCTGATTTTGTAAAGTTCTTTTGCAAATATAGGACATCGTTCTTGAAAGATGTCATACACTCCATCTATTATTGCATTTGCTTTTTCTTATTCATGATTATACGACCTATAAAAGCTTGGAATAATTATTTTGGGGGTCATTGTGAAAATATATGAAGAATATGGTTTGTATTGAGTAAGTTCAACAGTATACAGAAGCATGTGTTTTATACAAGTAAAGGAAAGCTATTCTAGGAAAACAGAGAAGCTATTCTAGGTAAACAGAATCTATTTATGCTGATTACAATTCGATCCTACAACTGCTCCCAATTATATCATAATCAGATCATTGACTATTTTGTTTCCTTTTACACTCCCCCTTAAGTTGGAGTATGGATGTTAATTATACCCAACTTGCTGAGATGCGTATGAAAGATGGGCGCCCTTAGTGGTTTTGTAAAGATGTCAGCTATCTGATTTCATGTTGGCACATAAGCTGTCTTAATTTCACCATTTTGGATCTTTTCACGAACTGTGACAATCTAGCTCGATATGCTTGGTTCTCTCATGGTACACCGGATTCGCAGCAATATGTAAGGCTGATTGATTGTTGGCCTAGAATGTGGTACTCGTAAATCTCTCAACAAATATTTTAACCAAGTAAGTTCACAAGTGGCTGCAGCCATCGAACGGTATTCTGCTTCGGCTGATGATCTAGACACCGTGACTTGCTTCTTACTCTTCCAGGACACGAGTGAGTTTCCAAGGAAAATGCAATATCCTGTCACTGATCGTCTTGTGATGGGACACTTGGCCCAATCCACATCACAATAACCAACCAAACTTAGCTAACTTTTTGTAGAAAACAGTAAGCCTTGCCCAAGCGCGTTCTTCAGATATTGAAGAAGATGACGTGCTGCCTTGAGGTGGTGCAGCTTGGGTTCTTGCATTAACTGACTCAAAGTGTTCACTGCATATGTAATCTCTGGCCTGGTGATGGTGAGGTAGATTAATTTTCCAATTAATCGTTGATATTGAGCTGGTTCCTTGAGGGCATCACTGCCTGTTGTCGTTAGTACTAACTCGGGTTCCATGGGGACTTTAGTGGGTTTCACTCCAAGCAAACCAGCGTCCTCCAATATGTCTAGAGTGTACTTTCGTTGACAAATTGAATTCCCATCTTTAGAGCATGCAACTTCCACACCAAGAAAATATTTTAATAGTCCAAGATCTTTAATCCGAAAACATCCGTTGAGAAACTGCTTGAGATTTTGAATTTCCTGCTCATCATTTCCTGTAATGATCATGTCATCATTTCCTATGATGATCGATGTTGGGTATTTTACAGTTTGCTTTATTACATTATCATTATAAAGGCTCGCCTTAGTTCGCTATTCGGCAACTTACAACAGTTGAAGTCAAAACAATCAGACTCACCTACATCCGAATTTAGTAGCTAGGAATCGCGCAATTGAGAAAGAAGCATGATCGATTGAGCTCGAAGAACAAGAAACGGATGCACGCTTTGGAACAATCACAAAAGGGGGATTCCCGGGGTATTTCTAAGGACGGACCGCATACCAACCATTCCTTTTTGGAATGGAAAGAAGAAATGATGGTCGTAGATCACTGATGTCAAATTCCACGAAAAAAAATCACAAAATCGTCAGATAATTGGGAATTAAGAGCTTTACGTGTGCAAAATCCATGAATAATTGTTAGTTAATTAGGGTTCTAGTTTTTAATGGTTACCTTGTAATCGGGTCTTCAACAATTTTTTTTTTTTTTTTTTTTTTTTTTTTTTTTTTTTTTTTTTTTTTTTTTTTTTTTTTTTTTTTTTTTTTTTTTTTTTTTTTTTTTTTTTTTTTTTTTTTTTTTTTTTTTTTTTTTTTTTTTTTTTTTTTTTTTTTTTTTTTTTTTTTTTTTTTTTTTTTTTTTTTTTTTTTTTTTTTTTTTTTTTTTTTTTTTTTTTTTTTTTTTTTTTTTTTTTTTTTTTTTTTTTTTTTTTTTTTTTTTTTTTTTTTTTTTTTTTTTTTTTTTTTTTTTTTTTTTTTTTTTTTTTTTTTTTTTTTTTTTTTTTTTTTTTTTTTTTTTTTTTTTTTTTTTTTTTTTTTTTTTTTTTTTTTTTTTTTTTTTTTTTTTTTTTTTTTTTTTTTTTTTTTGGGGACAAGGACCCGCCCCGGAATTTCCCCCGAAACCGGGGCGGACCCCGTATTGGTGCCGACATCACACCGATGCCGGGCCCACTTACTAAAAACCCAAGACATCCTACCAAAATTTTGGCAGAATCTCCCCTGTAAGATGCTCAAACCCAACAACATTCAGCCTGCATAATTTACATAATATAAATCCCAACTGCCAGCATGCTTTCAACATACAACAATTCAAAGTAAAGTGGCCTCCGGCCTCAAGTAACAGCCTAACATGGGCGATAACAGAGCATCTAACAGATTTTGTTTACAACAACAGCAGAGTAGAAGGAATTTACACGAACCCTATCTACAGATGAAATGTTTGGAGCTCGCAAACTGCTCGAACGCTTCCAAAAGCCACTACTGCCTGGGGGGCGCAAAACGGAAATATGTGAGTGGACAAAAATAAAGTTTGCATTTAAAACAACATAGTAACCCCACCGTGTAAAAATAATGCTCAAGCAAGCAGTTTCCACATCCATAAATCAAATACTCAAATATAAAAATCTCAAAGTCCAACAACTCTCAAAAACCTCAAACCACAACTCCATTCCCACAAGTATGCAACTCTCACCAACCCATACATATGTATACCTATATAAGTATATATTATATATATATATCTATAATATAACGTATACTTCTCTCCATACTAATGTACCGGGGAAGACAATCCAACCGGGGGATTGTTGGCTGGTACGCAGGATTTTCGAACCAGAACCCGCGTCCAGGGATGAGTAGTCCAACCGGGGGACGGAACTCCATAGCTCACACGCCGGCACTGCCAACGACACGTGTAGCTCACAAATCTCATATCAAGTCCTACGCGCGCAGACAGTATCATCACCCCACCGGCACTGCCAACGACGTGTGTGATGATACTCAAGCAATATACATACTCTTCCCATACGCCGGCACTGCCAACGACACGTATAGAAAGTGTCTCACACACCGGCACTGCCAACGACATGTGTGAGACCCGCAATCTCATGGCCTTCCCACCCCACCGGCACTGCCAACGACGTGTGTGGGAAGCCTAGTAACTAGGGAATGGTACTCACCTACCATACTCATACATCTCACAACCATCCCACCAACTCATACCTTTCCACAATCTCACCACAACAACCTCTCATACTCTATACATAGACAATATAGATAGTCAACCCAAAATCCATATTAACATATTCATCATACTCAAATACATATATCTATACTCAAAATATATAGCCAAGATGTATAAGAATATTCAAATCCATCAATCAAATGATTATTAAATCAAAATCACCATTTAAAATATATGCACAAATCTTTCATCAATAAAACCATGCATATGCTTAAAACAAAGTCCACTCACAGGTAATCCCACGCTGCCCGGCCCCGAGAGGGTCCTGCCTGCTGCGAACGATCGACCGAAGTACCTATTTCGAGATACGAACTCTTGATTAATATAATACCCTTCAAAACGGGAATTCACAAAAGAGAATACTTAAATCCCCAAGATCCCGGTGCGTGTACGTCCAATAGGATATCCTAAGGTCCGGTTACAGGTTTGGGAATCACTTCCCATCCAACGGTTATCGTTAATCCCACAAACTTCGAATTATTGAATCGGAACATCCGGGGCTCCGATTCACGATCCACGAATTCCTATAGGATTCTAAGAGTACCTAAATCAACATACTTCAATTTGGAAACGATCCGACGGTTAGAACTTATCGAACCCGAATAACGCATAATATGCGAAATCCGTTCGATAGTCAAACGACATCCAAATTGAGATTCGTAAAATCCTATGCACTCGTGACAACCTACTGATCTCATCAGGATAAAAAGCAACTTCAACAGCCTTGCCCACGCGCCGCCACACGCGCCGGCAGCGCGTGGGTGTGTAGAGGAATTTCCGGCGACGGAAAATCTCCACACCAACGCTCACCCTTCCTACCCTAGCTTCTTCTCAAGGTCAGGATCACTTTGTTCAACTACCACGAGATCCAATTCGTACGAGAACTGGCCGGAATTTCAAATTGAAAACCGGCCAAAACCTAGGTTTCCAATTCGGTTCCAAAACTCAAAATCGATCCAAACCTACCCCACAATCAGCTAGAGCACGTAAAAAGGAGAAGAAACCTCACCTAGTTCACCGGAATTGGACGGCGGAGACGACGGCGCAACGCCGTGAAGAATCCGGTTTGAACCAGTCGAAACTGACGTCGGGATTCGAGGTTTCCGGCGGGGAAATGGGGTGGGTTGTGATCGGGGCTTCGAGACGAGTCGAACGGAACCGGTGCCGGCTCTTCCCGTTGCCGGAACTGAGAGAATCGAAGAGAGAGGGAATCGGTGTCGGGGAGAGAGAAACGGAGGAGAGAGAGTGTACGCGGGAGAGAGAGAGAGAAAAATGTGGGGGTAAAAGTGAAAAATCTGGTTTTTACTCCAAACTTATCAAAATATTTACGGTTCCGCCACCGAACTTATTTTGATCGCCAAATCTTCATTAAATCTCCGATTCAAGCCTACCGCCTGTCTACGGTTTCGTCTCAGTACCACCTATGCAACCAAACCACTCGTGGTCCCAAAATCCTTCCGGATAAGAAAATGACCAAAATTACCCTTAACCCAAGAGTAAATTAATAATTCTCTTAATTTAGTTAAAATAGGAATAAATTTGGAGTCGGGGTGTTACAATTTTTTTTTTTTTTTTTTTTTTTTTTTTTTTTTTTTTTTTTTTTTTTTTTTTTTTTTTTTTTTTTTTTTTTTTTTTTTTTTTTTTTTTTTTTTTTTTTTTTTTTTTTTTTTTTTTTTTTTTTTTTTTTTTTTTTTTTTTTTTTTTTTTTTTTTTTTTTTTTTTTTTTTTTTTTTTTTTTTTTTTTTTTTTTTTTTTTTTTTTTTTTTTTTTTTTTTTTTTTTTTTTTTTTTTTTTTTTTTTTTTTTTTTTTTTTTTTTTTTTTTTTTTTTTTTTTTTTTTTTTTTTTTTTTTTTTTTTTTTTTTTTTTTTTTTTTTTTTTTTTTTTTTTTTTTTTTTTTTTTTTTTTTTTTTTTTTTTTTTTTTTTTTTTTTTTTTTTTTTTTTTTTTGGGGGAAATAGTGTGATTTTATATAAGTGGAGTGGAAGGTGGAAGCCATATACAAGCAATTACTAATTTCCCTGATCCCTTTGTCAGTTGTGGCCATATAGCTTTGTCTGAGAGGATGTTCTTGCTATGTGCTTGTAGTTTGGTTTGGGATACATAATTGTGATCATAGTTAGATCTATTTAATATTATTATTTTAACCGTATCTACCTTTCCCTAACCAATGACCAGAAGCAAACCATTTTGATCTTGCTTTTGTGATTCCATCTGAAGAGGTTATGCTAAGTCTGAATTCAGTCCCCGCCAGCCAAAGAGGTTATGCTAATCTTTTATCTTGCTTTTGTTTTTTTTTTTGTTTTATCAAGTCATCCCACACTTTCTTTTCTATTTTTTTCTGTCTTCTTTCGCTGGATAAACCCATAACTTATTACTAGTTGGTGTTGCAGACATGACAAGGCTTAAAGTTGTTAATCTCAGGTGGAACATCATCCGGGGTACCATACCTCAATGGTTGTACACTTGTAGCAATCTTGAGTCCCTATCCCTTTATTTGAATCTCTTGCGAGATGAAATTTCAAGTTCCATTGGAAACTTGACAGCCATTGTCAATCTTGACTTGTCTGCTAATCAAATTGAAGGGAAAATGCCAAACTCATTGGGAAATCTTTGTAAGTTGACGGTTCTTGATCTGTCAAGGAACTATTTCAATGGAAGCGTATCAGAAAAATTGCGAAGCTTGTCAGGGTGTAGTTCAGGTCAAATGGAGTCACTGAAGCTGTCAACAAATGATTTTTCAAGTCCACTATCCGATCAGCTAGGAAATTTCAGACATTTACGCCTCCTTGCTCTTTCGAGTAATTCAATATCAGGTCCAATTCCAGTGTCCTTGGGAAATCTGTCATTCCTAGAAGACGCAAGCATTTCTGAAAATCATTTTAATCGAACTCTTCCAAAAACTACTGGTCAACTCAAAATTATGTAAAGAGTATAGCTGGTCGGCTATAATATTTATAAAAAAAGACCGCAGTAATGCTGGACGGCTATAATCTTTTAAAAATATATACATCGTATAGCCGTGCGTCTATACTATAAAAACTGTCGTATAGCTGCGTGGTTAGACTCTATTTATATTATAAAAAGAGACCCGCATGTCGGCTTAGCGCCCATTTCGCCACGTGTCAAAAATAGTATAGCTGTACACTATAATAATTTTTTTAATAATAAATACCGTAGTATAGCCGGTCGGCTATACTCTGTTTGTTATTAAAATAAACCCCGAGTTGGAAAAGGTTTGATGACGGTCTGGCGGGCAACCAATCCTGATGCTAGAGATTTTCCTGTCGACATTGGTTTTGCTAACTTGTGTATCGCGAAAACTAGAAACTCGGAACAGAAGATTGCAACACCAAAAATGTGATTTAGTCTGTATTGCTTGCAGATATGTGAGAAAGACTTTGCCAAGCAAAGAAAAATGTGAACTTGCTTTGGAAGGAGCAAATTCCCAAGAACACTCGGATAAGATCGCAATGCTTGTGGATGATGAAGAGTTGGAGCTGAGAGAATTACAAGGAAGCCCAAATGCACTGGGGTTCTCTGATCATTTTACTACTAATGAAGATCATGCCTGTTCACTTTGCAAAGGTTGGTTTGAGGGAAGAACAGAACAGATTTTCCACTCTAAAATGAAATGCTGTAATATGTATGTGTCTGCATGTATAATATTTTGAGCTGTGGAAGTTGAGTTGGTGTCATTTTTTAAAAAGAATGATTGTATTTTGGGAATTTAAAAAATTCATGAAAGGTTCATCTCCGCTTCTTTTGAAAGTAGCCTTGAAAAGAAACCCAGAGTCTGCTTTTAAAAGATGCTGTCAAAAGGCCACTTCTTTTAAAATAAGTGGGATATTTTATTTTTACCAAACACCTTAAACTGGTTAACTTTAAAGTGAAGCAGGTTTTTGGCCAAAAAAAGCAATCCCAAGCAATTTTATACTATGAAATTCAAACTTCTTTGATCCACAAAATGTTGTCGGATCCCTATTTTTTGTTGTTGTATTTATGGGTTTAACCCGGATTATTTGTTATAAATAAAATTCATTTTTTTATTCTTTCCCAATGGGCTAATAGTTAGATTGTTAGAAATCATTAGAATGAGAGGTATCATAAAGAATTTAAATTTTCATTCCCCAATATCGCTTGTATAAATAAAATAATTGGAGAAATAACTCTAGCCCAATGGGCTAAGGTGGTATTCTAGCCCCAAAAACCTAAAACGATATGACAAAAATGTATATTTCAAAGGTATAGCCGCACGGCTATACTGTCTAAATTCGTTCGAATATTTTAAAGGTGTAGCCGAACGGCTAGACTCTTTAAATTTTAATATATTTGAATATTTTAAGGGTATAGCCGAACGGCGATACTCTTTAAATAATAACACGAAGCTTGCACTCGCAGTGACAGCCATTTCGCTTCTCTATCAAACTAAAGCTCCGATTGGTTTTCTTCTGTTTCGGCTGCTTTGTCCTCCAGGTTCGGCATCGTAAAAAGACCCAACCCGCCTAGGAGGCCTCCCAGCCGCCTAGCCCCGCCTAGCCGCCTAGGCCCGCCTAGCGCCCGCCTAGCACCCGCCTAGCCCCTGCCTAGCCGCCTAGCGCCCGCCTAGCCCCACATCGCCGGCTTGTTGCAGATTTTGACCGAGAAAATTCTGATATCGGAGACAGGGTCGAGTTCCAGAGCCGTAGAATTGGACCATATTCAGGAGGAGATTGAGGAGGTGTCTGCCGTTCCGGAAGTGAAGGAGAAGAAGAAGAGCAGAAATGCTTTGAGGAAGGGGTCGGAAGGTGAAGAGGTCCGAGCTATGCAGGTCTGCTTGCTTTTGAAATGCGAGTTTTGATTTTTCGGAGTCTATCATTCATTTCTTGTGTTTTGTTTATGATTTAGTGTTGTCTTTGAATTATAAAATGGTACTTTTAAATTTGGCAAATTGAAAACTGAGCAGCATACAGTTTTTTAGGACTTACAAGGGGGTATTAACTTTCTCTTTAGTATAGAAAGTTGTTAACTTTTGTTTCTTTTCTTTTCCTGTAACTGGGTTTGTGTGGTTATTTCCTTTTCTAGTGTTTGCTTCGTTTTTGGATGTAATATTTGTGATTTCGACTTGTTCTAATATAATGTTCCTGTTATTTGACAGGAAGCATCGCAAAAACTAGGATTTTACTTGGGTGAGGAAGACATGGAGTTTTCCAGCTTCTCAAGCGGGACCGAACGTGCTGTCAAGACTTGGCAAGTAAGTTTCAATTATCATTAGATGTTACTATGTATAATGCATGAAGAGTAAAATTTCAGAATCATCAAGTTGAACAAAAATTTCACAACGCAAAATATATATGTTAGTCAACTTGTAATATCTTGTCTGACAGGCCTCCTTAGACGCCCCTCAAGATGGCATAGTGACTGCAGAACTTCTTGAACAATTATATACGGTGGCACAAATTGAGGGTCTGGATAACAAAGGGAGTACTCTGACTGCTACACAAAAGGTATAGCCTTCTGACGACATACCATTAGCCTTTATTAAGTGGAAGCCGTTGATGTTTTAAGTTTCAAAAAACTCATTTGATGGTTCAATTTGAAGTGAACTAAGCCTTCATTTTTCTTCACCCAGATTGTAAAGAATTGTAGCAAACAGTACTAAGTACCAAGCAAGAAGCTCTGTTACTTAATTGAGAAACGGAGATATTATTTTTTTTTTTTTTTTTTTTTTTTTTTTTTTTTTTTTTTTTTTTTTTTTTTTTTTTTTTTTTTTTTTTTTTTTTTTTTTTTTTTTTTTTTTTTTTTTTTTTTTTTTTTTTTTTTTTTTTTTTTTTTTTTTTTTTTTTTTTTTTTTTTTTTTTTTTTTTTTTTTTTTTTTTTTTTTTTTTTTTTTTTTTTTTTTTTTTTTTTTTTTTTTTTTTTTTTTTTTTTTTTTTTTTTTTTTTTTTTTTTTTTTTTTTTTTTTTTTTTTTTTTTTTTTTTTTTTTTTTTTTTTTTTTTTTTTTTTTTTTTTTTTTTTTTTTTTTTTTTTTTTTTTTTTTTTTTTTTTTTTTTTTTTTTTTTTTTTTTTTTTTTTTTTTTTTTTTTTTTTTTAAAATTTTTCTACTAGTCTCGTCTATTGTCCTCTTTGGACGGTTGCCAGAAGTATTACCAGTAATTGCATTGTCAGTCTGCCTATCTGGCTTCTGCATGCTAGGGGCCATCCAAGAAGTTCCCCATTTGTTGTGTCCCTTTTGAACAATTTCAAATGTCCATAAAGGATTGTGAATGCAGTTGGTATTTGTTTAAGAAATCATCACTCATTCTGACTTTCCATTTATGCTGTTACTTTGTTTCATGTTATTTTTTGTGTTATTTCTATACAGGCTATATCTCCAAGTGCATTGCCGCAGATATTCAAAAATGCATTGACTGTTCCCATACTTCTTGACATTATCAAGTGTGTGGCAACCTTTTTTGTGAAAGTAATGTTTATGTCTAATATGTATGTTTTCTTGTTGAGCTTGATAAAATGCTTATGGCCTCACCTTTGATTTATTTCTTTGGCAGTGAAGAAATGGATTTGGCCGTCAATTATTTGGACAACTTAACCAGGGTTCCAAGATTTGACACACTCATCATGTTTCTTTCATCCTCAGACAACGATGCTATGCATGCTTCTGTTTTAAATTCCTTGAGATTTTCAAAAGCTTACGGTTGAATTCCTGGATTTCAAATGTTTTTTTAAAGTAGTGACAGGACCCGTCCCCGAATTTCCCGGAACCCGAGACGAACCCTGCGGAGACCCCGGCATCACACCCACGCCGGGTTCACTCCTTAAAACTATGTCCTCTTTTACCAGAGAGGATTTAGGGCACGAGACTTTCTGCCAAAATTTCGGCAGAGTCTCCCCTGTAAATTGAACATTCCCCAAAATTTCCACCTGCATAAAACACATTTTATAACCCAACCAGCAGCACGCACAATATAATCTCATGCAATTTACATAAATGGCCTCCGGCCTTCAAATGATTCTAGCAGAACTGCTCACACTGCTTTTAAAATAACTCCATGCATCAAACATGCATATAACAAATTCAAAATCTATCTATGCACACCTTCACTCACTCAGTCCAACGGACAAGCCTCAATTCAACCAAGTTTCGGGACCAACCACGAGGTCCGCATCATACTCGATAAAACCACCTAAGTGGTGTCTAGGTCGTGGCTGCACCTAGGCGCTATCCCAGGCTGCCTACGTACCCTACTAAGGGATCAAGCCACACGTAGCTCTTTCCTATCAATCCTGGCTCCTGATATCAATTAAACCATTACATCCATATAAATTCATACATTCTCGGGTTTATCCATCACAACACACCAAACATAATCACATAGCTCCCCTCATACGACGGGACGCACCCGGCCTCGTATGGGGTCTGTCTACACGCCGGCTAATCCAAAGACGCGTGCGACCTCAACCCTGGGCCTGGCTACATTCTCACCAGCCCTCACACAATCATATCTCCCCTCATACGTCGGGACGCACCCGGCCACGTACGGGGTCTGTCAACACGCCGGCTAATCCAAAGACGCGTGCGACCTCACACTGGGCCTGGCTACATTCTCACCAGCCCTCACACAATCATATCTCCCCTCATACGTCGGGACGCACCCGGCCACGTATGGGGTCTGTCAACACGCCGGCTAATCCAAAGACGCGTGCGACCTCACACTGGGCCTGGCTACATTCTCACCAGCCCTCACACAATCATATCTCCCCTCATACGTCGGGACGCACCCGGCCACGTATGGGGTCTGTCAACACGCCGGCTAATCCAAAGACGCGTGCGACCTCACACTGGGCCTGGCTACATTCTCACCAGCCCTCACACAATCACATCTCCCCTCATACGTCGGGACGCACCCGGCCACGTATGGGGTCTGTCAACACGCCGGCTAATCCAAAGACGCGTGCGACCTCACACTGGGCCTGGCTACATTCTCACCAGCCCTCACACAATCACATCTCCCCTCATACGTCGGGACGCACCCGGCCACGTATGGGGTCTGTCAACACGCCGGCTAATCCAAAGACGCGTGCGACCTCACACTGGGCCTGGCTTACATTCTCACCAGCCATCACACAATCATATCTCCCCTCATACGTCGGGACGCACCCGGCCACGTATGGGGTCTGTCAAACACGCCGGCTAATCCAAAGACGCGTGCGACCTCACACTGGGCCTGGCTACATTCTCACCAGCCCTCACACAATCATATCTCCCCTCATACGTCGGGACGCACCCGGCCACGTATGGGGTCTGTCAACACGCCGGCTAATCCAAAGACGCGTGCGACCTCACACTGGGCCTGGCTACATTCTCACCAGCCATCACACAATCATATCTCCCCTCATACGTCGGGACGCACCCGGCCACGTATGGGGTCTGTCAACACGCCGGCTAATCCAAAGACGCGTGCGACCTCACACTGGGCCTGGCTACATTCTCACCAGCCATCACACAATCACATCTCCCCTCATACGTCGGGACGCACCCGGCCACGTATGGGGTCTGTCAACACGCCGGCTAATCCAAAGACGCGTGCGACCTCACACTGGGCCTGGCTACATTCTCACCAGCCCTCACACTGTCACTTGGGCCTGGCTACATTCTCACCAGCCATCTTACTGTCACTTGGGCCTGGCTACATTCTCACCAGCCATCTTACTGTCACTTGGGCCTGGCTACATTCTCACCAGCCATCATACTATCACTTGGGCCTGAACATAATCACAATATGAGGGGTACGTGGGGTAGTGCGTATAGCACTGTAAACTAATATTCACTCTCCTTATATATCATTATACATCCACAGAATCAATTAAATATATCATATAATTTCTAATCATACAATAACATCAACCAATAACACATTCCATAAACTCCCACATTTAAATTCACCAATTTATATCCTAAACCCACAATATCCAAATTGAGATCCGCAAAATCTTACGCGCTTGTGATAACCAGGAGATCATTTTAGAACCTCAAGCCGGTCCATTTTCCTAGCCCACGCGCCGGCAGCGGGTGGGTGCCTTGAGTAATTCCGGCGGCCGGAAAAACTCCAAACCGCCGGCCAAGCTTCCTATCCTAGATGTAAAACCCTATTCTGAGCCACTTTTGTTCTTGGGCATACCCCAAAATCTGACCGGAAGTGGCCGGAATCTCCCCTCGAAATCCGGCCGAAATCCAATTCGAAGATCAGACCTCCTACGCTCAAAATCGATACAATCCTACCCAACCATCAGCTAGATCACGGAAAATAGGTGAGAAATCATACCTTGATCGCAAGATTTGGTGGCCGGAATCGCCGGAACGAGCTCCGGAAAATTTGGGTAAAAACCGGCCGTTTTTCTGCAATTTCCGGCGGTATCGCTGCCGGCTGACATCGGAGAATGGGTGGGGTAGGACGGCGGAGTCAGGCCGGTCATTTTGGGGACCGGTCCCGACCCGAGTGGTGGCCGGATGAATGAACGGCCGGCCAAAACGTGGCCGGCTGTGGTGGCGGTCGCGAACCAGAGGAGAGAGAGAGGGACGCGCGGGAGAGAGAGAGTGTGAGAGAGACGGGGGCAATTCCGTCTTTTAACCAAAAATCCATTTTCCAAATATTTACGATTATGCCACTGAGCTTCTTTTGATCATATCTCTCTCGTTACAACTCCGATTCGAGCCCACTACGTGTCTACGAACTCATCTCACCGTGCTCTACGCAACGGTACAACCGGAATTCCCAAAGTCCTTCCGAATAAGAAAATGACTAAAATACCCCTATCCCACGGGTAATTTCTCAATTCCACTTAAATAAATTAAAACATGGGATAAATTTGGGGTCGGGGTGTTACAAGTAGAGTATACCTATATCAATGTGGTACATCAGTCTCAGCGACTGGTAATGCTTGCACTGTGTCTTGATTGAATCGTTCCATATTTTCTGATTTGTTAGTCATCCTGCCCATTTTTATAGGGTTTATGATTCATATTTTCCATTAGTTTCATATCCTATACTAACCCAATAACCTTGCAAACAGATGTTGTTAAGATATGGGATGAAGTGTTGGACAATGAGGCAACTCCGATTGAGTATGCCGAGAAGCTTGATAACCTGCATACAAAGTACTGCCCCAAGCGATGACAAAGCTCAACAAGTTTCTACTTTACCCTCCTTCGCCTCTTGTACTGTAAATTCAAGTTGTAAATTTTGAAATGCTCCAACGACCCCTTTGAATATGAATTTTGTCGTGGATAACTATTCTATCCAATTATCGAGATGTTAAAAGTACATTGCAACTTTTACTTCACTCCTGTTGGACTTGAATACTTGGAACTTGGAACTGTTGGTAAGAATGTGCTTGTGAGAGTCCATGTTTTGGTCGGGTGGACATAGCCTACTCTTGTTCAGTCATATTCGTTGAGGTCCAGAGGTTATGGTGCGTCTCCCAATATATTCTAATGTTGGTTGTGGAGATGGCGGTGGAAGTGGAGGTTTTGGAGGAGGTGGTGGTACTGGTGGTGGTGGCAGTGGCGGTGGAGTTAGTGAATGTGGTGGTGCAAGTGGTGGAGTTGGATGTGGAAGTAGAGTTGGTGTCATTTTTTAAAATGAATGATGGTATTTTGGGAATTTAAAAAAATTCATGAAAGGTTCATCTCCGCTTCTTTTGAAAGAAGCTTTGAAAAAAAACCCATAGTCTGCTTTTAAAAGCTGCTATCAAAAGGCCACTTCTTTTAAAATAATTGGGATATTTTATTTTTACCAAACACCTTAAACTGCTTAACTTTAAAGTGAATCAGGTTTTTGGCCAAAAAAAGCAATCCCAAGGAATTTTATACTATGAAATTCAACCTTCTTTGATCCACAAAATGTTGGCCGATCCCTATTTTTTGTTGTTGTATTTATGGGTTTAACCCGTATTATTTGTTGTAAATAAAATTCATTTTTTTATTCTTTCCCAATGGGCTAATAGTTAGATTGTTAGAAATCATTAGAATGAGAGGTATCAGAAAGAATTTAAATTTTCATTCCCCAATATCGCTTGTATAAAGAAAATAAATGCAGAAATAACTCTAGCCCAATGGGCTAAAGTGATATTCTAGCCCCAAAAACCTAAAACGACATGACAAAAATGTATACTTCAAGGGTATAGCCGCACGGCTATACTGTCTAAATACGTTCGAATATTTTAAAGGTGTAGCCGAACGGCTAGACTCTTTAAATTTTAATATATTTGAATATTTTAAGAATATAGCCGAACGGCCATACTCTTTAAATATTAACACGAAGCTTGCACTCGCAGTGACAGCCGTTTCGCTTCTCTATCAAACTAAAGCTCCGACTGGTTTTCTTCGGTTTCGGCTGCTTCGTCCTCCAGGTTCGGCATCGTAAAAAGACCCAACCCGCCTAGGAGGCTGCCCAGCCGCCTAGCCGCCTAGCGCCCGCCTAGCCCCCGCCTAGCCCCTGCCTAGCCGCCTAGCGCCCGCCTAGCCCCACATCGTCGGCTTGTTGCAGATTTTGACCGAGAAAATTCTGATATCGGAGACAGGGTCGAGTTCCAGAGCCGTAGAATTGGACCATATTCAGGAGGAGATTGAGGAGGTGTCTGCCGTTCCGGAAGTGAAGGAGAAGAAGAAGAGCAGAAATGCTTTGAGGAAGGGGTCGGAAGGTGAAGAGGTCCGAGCTATGCAGGTCTGCTTGCTTTTGAAATGCGAGTTTTGATTTTTCGGAGTCTATCATTCATTTCTTGTGTTTTGTTTATGATTTAGTGTTGTCTTTGAATTGTAAAATGGTACTTTTAAATTTGGCAAATTGAAAACTAAGCAGCATACAGTTTTTTAGGACTTACAAGGGGGTATTAACTTTCTCTTTAGTATAGAAAGTTGTTAACTTTTGTTTCTTTTCTTTTCCTGTAACTGGGTTTGTGTGGTTATTTCCTTTTCTAGTGTTTGCTTCGTTTTTGGATGTAATATTTGTGATTTCGACTTGTTCTAATATAATGTTCCTGTTATTTGACAGGAAGCATCGCAAAAACTAGGATTTTACTTGGGTGAGGAAGACATGGAGTTTTCCAGCTTCTCAAGCGGGACCGAACGTGCTGTCAAGACTTGGCAAGTAAGTTTCAATTATCATTAGATGTTACTATGTGCTGTCAAGACTTGGGATCTGATCGTAGATACAATAGATACTGGCTTTTCTTGGGCCCTTGTAATGCATATGACCCAGGACATAGAAGGGTTTATTTCAAATCTTCAGAAGATGGTCACTGGGAGGTGATTGATACAGAAGAGGTATTCTGCTGAATTTTTTTTATACGATCAATGTGATTGTAGTACATATTGCTTGACCTTGTATAAGTTATAATATTTACTTGCTTTTTCTTAAACCAAATGCAGGCTCTGTGTGCTTTGTTGTCAGTTTTGGATGACAGGGGTAAACGAGAGGCTCTTCTTATTGAATCCCTGGAGAAACGAATAGCGTTTCTGTGCCAAGCGATGTCAAGTAGAATGGTAAATAGTGATAGAATTGACAACTTGGCGCAATCTGATCAATCTGAGCTGGATAGTGTTAGAGAAGACACTTATTCACCAGTATCTGATGTAGACAACAACTTATCTGGAATTGCAAATGATTCTCTGCCTTCATCTGGAGTTGGGGTTCTTGAAGTTAGAAAGAAAGGAGAACAACAGAAACAGAAATGGAGCCGAATCCAAGCATTTGATTCATGGTTATGGAATTCCTTTTACCTAGATCTTAATGCTGTCAAACATGGTAAACGATCATATTTTGATACACTTACTAGATGTGAAAGTTGTCATGATTTGTATTGGAGAGATGAGAAGCACTGCAGGATTTGCCATACAACATTTGAGCTTCATTTTGATCTGGAAGAAAGGTATGCCATCCATGTAGCCACATGTAAGGAGAAAGAAGCGAGTGATACTTTTCCTAAGCATAAGGTCCTCTCATCACAGATCCAATCACTAAAAGCTGCGATGCATGCAATTGAGGCAACCCATCATTTGGATTTTAGCTTTGCATTTTCTGATATTTGTTTGTTATAGTAATGAAGATGTCCTCCAGTTAAAAAGATTTCAAGCTACACATGTCTTTGATAGACTGGAGGAGAATAGGACTTCAGTTGAGGATCAACCTAGGAATGAATTAAGTGTTCATGGTTTGGATAATTTGAATGTGACTTTTGAGATTTATGCGCAATCAAATCCGATAGCTTTTATATAATAAAAAAAAGAAGAGAAAATCTCTGAAGTGCAATAAGATTTTAGATGAAGGGGTGCGGGATGGCGGGGAAGGGATTGATGAAAAGGCATACTGCTGTGAATGTGGCAGAATGGTTGATTAGTATCCACCTGCCCTATCTGATTAGTTCGGGCCTCTGGTAGCTGGCCATAAATAGTGGGATTATTTTAGTTGGATTTTGGGGCCTGAACCTTTTGATTGTCTGATGGTTAAAACAGGTTTTCTAGGTTATATATCGAAGACATTTCTATTCGCCCCAAAGTTTTTAATGTTTTTCCGTGCTATATTGATCTCCACCTCCCTCTGCTTTGTGCAGTCAGTCATGCCAGAAGATGCTTTGTTGGGTGCTTGGAAAAAATCTGCTCATAAGCTATGGGTGAAACGACTAAGACGTACCTCATCTTTGGCTGAGCTTTTGCAGGTTTTCTATTTTCCTTTTTTCACACTATCTATTTTTTGTTTATTTTCTAGTCGGAACCATCAGTTTCTTTATTGTTTACTCGTGCAGGTTCTTGGTGATTTTGTTGGTGCCATCAACGAGGACCGATTATATGAATGCAATATAGAGCAAGGTTCTTGTAATTTTAGTGAAGAACTGATTGCGTCCTTTGCATGTATGCCCCAAACAACATCTGCAGTTGCACTCTGGTTGGTGAGATTGGATGCCTTAATTGCTCCATACTTGGAAAGAGCCCATTCTCAGAAAAGGCTGGAAATTAGTGTCAGAGGTAATGATTGAATATAATGCAGATTGGTGCTTGACAATTGAGTGACTTCTTAATTGTTTTCATAGCTTTTCAAATTTTCGCCATCTTAAAAGCTTCTTTTACTTCAGGGAAGCATGCTCCAAAGCAATAGCACTGCCTTTTTTCGGTAGATTAGCCAAATTCAATCCCACATTTTTTTGACAGATTGAGGAGCATTTATATGTCCATTGTACTGCCAGATCAGTGGAACTGTTGCAGGCTTTGAAACCGTGGTACTTTGTATGAAGCTATGCTTCAAGTTTTCTATTTAGTTGCCATATATGGCCATTGAGTCGTTAGATGTACAGCATGAAGGAAAGTTGGACGTTTAATAGATACCAGAGTTTCATATCACTGAAACCTGCTCCAGAGAAATATCCTCACGTTTATCCTATATTCGCTTGTGAAGAATATGGCAGCCTCTTTACTGTCTCAGTCAATGGAGGAACTCAGATTTTGTTAATGCATGCTTGTTGACAGGACCCGTCCCGAATTTCCCGGAACCCGAGACGAACCCTGCGGAGACCCCGGCATCACACCCACGCCGGGTTTACTCCTTAAATCTACGTCCTCGTTTACCAGAGAGGATTTAGGGCACGAGACTTTCTGCCAAAATTTCGGCAGAGTCTCCCCTGTAAATTGAACATTCCCCAAAATTTCCACCTGCATAAAACACATTTTATAACCCAACCAGCAGCACGCACAATATAATCTCATGCAATTTACATAAATGGCCTCCGCCTTCAAATGATTCTAGCAGAACTACTCACACTGCTTTTAAAATAACTCCATGCATCAAACATGCACAGAACCAATTCAAAATCTAACTATGCACACCTTCGCTCACTCAGTCCACCGGACCAGTCTCAATTCAACCAAGTTTCGGGACCAACCACGAGGTCCGCATCATACACGATAAAACCACCTAAGTGGTGTCTAAGTCGTGGCTGCACCTAGGCGCTATCCCAGGCTGCCTACGTACCCTACTAAGGGATCAAGCCACACGTAGCTCTTTCCTATCAATCCTGGCTCCTGATATCAAATAAACCATTACATCCATATAAATTCATACATTCTCGGGTTTATCCATCACAACACACCAAACATAATCACATAGCTCCCCTCATACGACGGGACGCACCCGGCCTCGTACGGGGTCTGTCTACACGCCGGCTAATCCAAAGACGCGTGCGACCTCTCGCTGGGCCTGGCTACATTCTCACCAGCCATCATACTGTTCTCTTTGGCCTGGCTACATTCTCACCAGCCATCATACTATCATATCTCCCACTCATACGTCGGGACGCACCCGGCCACGTACGGGGTCTGTCAACACGCCGGCTAATCCAAAGACGCGTGCGACCTCACACTGGGCCTGGCTACATTCTCACCAGCCCTTATACCATCATATCACCCACTCATACGTCGGGACGTACCCGGCCACGTACGGGGCCTGTCAACACGCCGGCTAACCCAAAGACGCGTGCGACCTCACACTGGGCCTGGCTACATTCTCACCAGCCCTTATACCATCATATCACCCACTCATACGTCGGGACGTACCCGGCCACGTACGGGGCCTGTCAACACGCCGGCTAACCCAAAGACGCGTGCGACCTCACACTGGGCCTGGCTACATTCTCACCAGCCCTTATACCATCATATCACCCACTCATACGTCGGGACGTACCCGGCCACGTACGGGGCCTGTCAACACGCCGGCTAATCCAAAGACGCGTGCGACCTCACACTGGGCCTGGCTACATTCTCACCAGCCATCATACCATCATATCACCCACTCATACGTCGGGACGTACCCGGCCACGTACGGGGCCTGTCAACACGCCGGCTAACCCAAAGACGCGTGCGACCTCACACTGGGCCTGGCTACATTCTCACCAGCCCTTATACCATCATATCACCCACTCATACGTCGGGACGCACCCGGCACGTACGGGGTCTGTCAACACGCCGGCTAACCCAAAGACGCGTGCGACCTCACACTGGGCCGGGCTACATTTCTCACCAGCCCTCATACAATCATATCTCCCACTCATACGTCGGGACGCACCCGGCCACGTACGGGGTCTGTCAACACGCCGGCTAACCCAAAGACGCGTGCGACCTCACACTGGGCCTGGCTACATTCTCACCAGCCCTTATACCATCATATCACCCACTCATACGTCGGGACGCACCCGGCCACGTACGGGGTCTGTCAACACGCCGGCTAACCCAAAGACGCGTGCGACCTCACACTGGGCCTGGCTACATTCTCACCAGCCCTATACCATCATATCACCCACTCATACGTCGGGACGCACCCGGCCACGTACGGGGTCTGTCAACACGCCGGCTAACCCAAAGACGCGTGCGACCTCACACATCACTTGGGCCTGAGCATAATCACAATATGAGGGGTACGTGGGGTAGTGCGTATAGCACTGCAAACTAACATTCAATCTCCTTATATATCATTATACATCCACACAATTAATTAAATATATCATACATAACATCATCAATAAACATTCCATAAACCCACCATTTAAATTCACCAATTATATCCTAAACCCACATATCCATTTTACTCAACAACGCTCAAGACCTGTCACTAAGGTCATTCTAACCCTAAGGAAAGGTAAGACTATCTCGGAAGTCTCACGGTCAAACCTAGGGTCAAACGGGCCCTGCGGGGCCCACAACCTCCAATTTCCGATCCGAAAGTTCCTATAGGTTCTACAAGCTCTAGGACACATGTCCTGCAAGTTTGGTCCAGATCGGACGGTCGGATCGCTCACGATCGCACGATCGGACGGTTACTAAAACCCTAACCCCAGGGTTGGCATTTCCGGAGTATCCGGGACTCCGTTTTACGATCCGTCGAATCCTACACGATCCTGGTAATACCTAGATCAACATATTATAATCTCAGGACCATCCAACGGTCCAAACCCAGCGAACCCGGAAAATACGCGATATGCGATATCCGTTCGGGACTCTAACGGTATCCAAAATGAGATCCGAGCACACCTACGCGCTCATGACAACCTGAGGATCACATTGGGACAAAATTGCCCCTCGACTACAGTGCCCACGCGCCGCCACACGCGCCGGCAGCGCGTGGGTGTCCAAAGCGATATCGCATCGCCGGAAAAACCACGAATCACGGCTCAAGACTCCTACCCTAGGTAAAACACCTAATTTGGAGTCACTTTTGTTCTTGGACGTACCCCAAAAACTGACCGGAAGTGGCCGGAATCTCATCCCGAAATCCGGCCGAAACCCAACTCGAAAATCAGATATCTACGCTCAAATCGATGCAATCCTACCCAACCATCAGCTAGATCAGGAAAATAGGTGAGAAATTTCCATACCTTGATCGCCAAAATGGTGGCCGGACGACGGAGAACGAAGCCGGCGAAGTTTCGGTCGAAAACCGAGCTTTTCTCTTCGTTTTCCGGCGAAATCACCGACGGCTGGCGGCGGAACCTGGCCGGGGGTAGGAAGAGGACGGCGGCCCGGTCATTTTGGTACCGGCCCCGTCAACTTTGGTGGCCGGACGACGAGCGAACGGCCGGCCAAAACGTGGTCGGCCACGGTGGGCTGTCGCGAACCAGAGGAGAGAGGAGAGCGACGCGCGGGAGAGAGAGAGAGTGTGAGAGAGACGGGGGGCAATTCCGTCTTTTAACCAAAAATCCCACTTCAAAATATTTACGATTATGCCACTGAGCTTCATTTGATCATATCTCTCTCGTTACAACTCCGATTCGAGCCCACTACGGTCTACGGACTCATCTCACCGTGCTCTACGCAACGGTACAACCGGAATTCCCAAATTCCTTCCGAATAAGAAAATGACTAAAATACCCCTATCCCACGGGTAATTTCTCAATTCCACTTAAATAAATTAAAACATGGGATAATTTGGAGTCGGGGGTGTTACACTTGTTCTAGTTTTTTAAAGCAGGAATAAAATGTTGTCAAATGTACATTGTTGTAAAGAAAAACAAAATACTGTTTTTTTATTTATTTTTGAAAATAGAAGATTTGAAAGTCATCTTTGTGATAATCTTTTGTAGCTAGAACAATGTTTATTGTAGTTGAATATCCTCGACCTCACAGTTTGTTGCCAAAGACTTGTTGGTTTATTGAAATTTGCATTTCTTCATTGGGGTTCTCGTAGCTATTGATTGGTAAAAAAAATAGACATTCACCAAGAATGCTCGAATTATATTACACAAGAATAGCACTAGATAAATAAAACATTTAGGGTTTGGCTGTACTTTTTCTATGGCGTTTTTTAAGATAATAGTTGCTGCATAATTTCACGAAAAACTCCATGCATTCCTCGAAGCCTTCTTCCGGGTTTCAGTAGCAATTCTCAGTGCCTTGAGCAACAAACTTCATATATATGCCTCAGTTTTTGTGGCCATTTTAAACTTAAAATTATCAGTTGAAGAGGAAGGAAGAAACTAAGGAAGAAACTGAGAGGGAGAGCTATAATACTGAAGTTATTTTTGTTGTACAAAGTTGTTCTGCTTTGTGACTAAGCAAGAAACTGAGCAGCATACAATTTTTTAGGACTTACATGGGGGTATTAACTTTGTCTTTAGTATAGAAAGTTGTTAACTTTTGTTTCTTTTCTTTTCCTGTAACTGGGTTTGTGTGGTTATTTCCTTTTCTAGTGTTTGCTTTGTTTTTGGATGTAATATTTGTGATTTCGACTTGTTCTAATATAATGTTCCTGTTATTTGACAGGAAGCGGTTCAAAAACTAGGATTTTACTTGGGTAAGTAAAATCCAGAGTCTGCTTTTAAAAGCTGCTGTCAAAAGAACACTGCTTTTAAAATAATTGGGATATTTTATTTTTACAAAACACCTTAAACTGCTTAACTTTAAAGTGAAGCAAGTCTTTGGCGGAAAAAAAATAAATTCCTATACGAGGCCTAAGAATGAGATACTAATTCTCATCCAACGCATGTTGTTTGAATTCGCATTGAGAATAGTTCGTAAATCAATGTCATATGATTTATGTTGCCTTCAATTTATTTCAAAACAGAGCTGCAAACTTCTCTTCATTGTCTCGTTAGACTGTTTTGTATCCAATTTTTCACCGGCATAGAACACATCGCGGACTGATATATCTCATAGCAGAAGAGAAGGGTTGTCAAGTGCAATGAGAAAAAAGGCTGTAATTGGGTTTAGTTCATAATTACGATGGATACATTTTAAAAAGTAAATTCCTATACAAGCAATTTTATACTATGAAATTCAACATTCTTTGATCCACAAAATGTTGGCGAATCTCTATTTTTTGTTGTTGTATTTATGGGTTTAACCCATATTATTTGTTATAAATAAAATCCTTTTTTTTTAAAAAAAAATTCTTGCACAATGGGCTAATAGTTGAAAATCATTAGAATGAGAGATATTGGAAATAATTTAAATTTTAATTCCCCAATATCGCTTGTATAAATAAAATAATTGAAGAAATAAATCTAGCCCAATGGGCTAAAGTGCTATTTTAGCCCTAGACCTTAAAACGATAGGACAAAAATGTATATTTAAAGGGTAAATACATTAGAATATTTTAAAAGTATAGCCGAACGGCTAGAGTCTTTAAATATTAACATATTCGAATATTTTAAGAGTATAGCCGTACGGCTATACACTGTAAATATTATCACGAAGCTTGGACTTGCAGTCACAGCCATTTCGCTTTTCTATCAAACTCAAAGCTTCGATTGGTTTTCTTCGGTTTCGACTGCTTCGTCCTCCAGATTCGGCATCGTAAAAAGACCCAACCCGCCTAGGAGGCCAGCCCAGCCGCCTAGCCCCCGCCTAGCCGCCTAGCCCCGCCTAGCCGCCTAGCGCCCGCCTAGCCGCCTAGCCCGCCTAGCCGCCTAGCGCCCGCCTAGCCCCACATCGCCGACTTGTTGCAGATTTTGACCGAGAAAATTCTGATATCGGAGACAGGGTCGAGTTCCAGAGCCGTAGAATTGGACCATATTCAGGAGGAGATTGAGGAGGTGTCTGCCGTTCCGGAAGTGAAGGAGAAGAAGAAGAGCAGAAATGCTTTGAGGAAGGGGTCGGAAGGTGAAGAGGTCCGAGCTATGCAGGTCTGCTTGCTTTTGAAATGCGAGTTTTGATTTTTCGAAGTCTATCATTCATTTCTTGTGTTTTGTTTTATGATTTAGTGTTGTCTTTGAATTATAAAATGGTACTTTTGAATTTGGCAAATTGAAAACTGAGCAGCATACAGTTTTTTAGGACTTACAAGGGGGTATTAACTTTGTCTTTAGTATAGAAAGTTGTTAACTTTTGTTTCTTTTCTTTTCCTGGTAACTGGGTTTGTGTGGTTATTTCCTTTTCTAGTGTTTGCTTCGTTTTTGGATGTAATATTTGTGATTTCGACTTGTTCTAATAATATAATGTTCCTGTTATTTGACAGGAAGCATCGCAAAAACTAGGATTTTACTTGGGTGAGGAAGACATGGAGTTTTCCAGCTTCTCAAGCGGGACCGAACGTGCTGTCAAGACTTGGCAAGTAAGTTTCAATTATCATTAGATGTTACTATGTATAATGCATGAAGTGTAAAATTTCAGAATCATCAAGTTGAACAAAAATTTCACAACGCAAAATATATATGTTAGTCAACTCGTAATATCTTCTCTGACAGGCCTCCTTAGACGCCCCTCAAGATGGCATAGTGACTGCAGAACTTCTTGAACAATTATATACGGTGGCACAAATTGAGGGTTTGGATAACAAAGGGAGTACTCTGACTGCTACACAAAAGGTATAGCCTTCTGACGACATACCATTAGCCTTTATTAAGTGGAAGCCGTTGATGTTTTAAGTTTCAGTACCAATATATCATTCCTCACTTGGAACTGAACATAATGGTTTGGTAAGTCATTACTTGCATTCCTCAAGAGGAGCCAAAAACTCATTTGATGGTTCAATTTGAAGTGAACTAAGCCTTCATTTTCTTCACCCAGATTGTAAAGAATTGTAGCAAACAGTACTAAGTACCAACCATGAAGCTCTGTTACTTAATTGAGAAATGGACCTGAAGCTCCGACTCTATTTTCAGTAACTCAGACATCAGGTTTCTTGGTTCCAGTTCATGAGACAATCACTTAACATGCAAATAAATACGATATGATATGACAGTGACGTAATGTGCTGTGGTAACTGGTAACACACCGTAACTTATTTTGGATACTAATAAATGTAGCTGATTATATTGGTAAACTGATTTTCTTCTCCTGGTTGGCCTTGAGCTAGCAACCTGATCATGTTCGTATAAGCTATAGCGAACTACTACATAGGCTGAAACATCGTAATTCTTCAAATGGTTGTGTGGGTTATGTTGTTTGGGAAGATACAAATGGAGCTGCAGTTACTTCTGGAACAGAAATTTCAGAGGTCCAGCAAACACTTGTGAAAGAAGGCGTTACAAAAGTAAAGGTATCTAAGCATCATGTTTTTCTCCTTGGAGAGAACCGCTGGAAAGATTCGTCTAGACTTAGCAGGAACCAAAAAAAAGTAGGTGAAAGCAAGACAATGAATACCACAACAAGGTGTCTTACTTGTCGAGGGGAGGGTCGCTTGTTGTGCGCAGGTACCTCCTGTCTGTCTCCCGTCTTAGTCACTATATTCCAGTTTATAAATCATTGCCATGCTTCGCTAAACTTTTGCAGAAGTACTCTAAATCCACCCATACTATGAATTTGTATATTTATTTTGTTTGATCTGATTTTTAAATATAATGTTGAACACCAATGGCTTTGATGATGATATGCATTAGTTTTATTTTTGTACTTTTGCATATTTTGTTTCAACTATCCTCAGTCCCCTTGGTAGCTTATCTGTATTTCTTTGTTGCAGAATGTGATGGAACAGGCGAGCCAAACATTGAAGAACAGGTTAGAGGTTTCAAACACAGATATTAATATTCTCATTTTCGAGCATTATCCATCCAGGATGAAGTTTTAATTATTTTGTTAAATGACAGCAGTTCTTGGATTGGGTGGAAGAAGGAGCAAAATGTCCATATTGTGAAGGTCATGGGTTTACAATTTGCGACGTATGTGAAGGGGCAACAGTAGCTTAGGTATCAAAATATCTTCCCATAAAGACGTGCAGTTTTATGCTTTAGTACATGTGTTTAATGGTAGTTTGCATTTATAAACAAATGCTGAAAATCATATGTATATCTACAGTTTATTATATAAGTCAACGGGGTCTAGCTTAGTGAAAAAGGACAATGACTTGCAAACCAGAGATCTCATGCTCGAACCACGACATCATACTTGTTTGTGTGTGTGGAAAATTCCCCTCCCCTTTTAGACTATTGCTTGCACTATAAAATAATAATAATAATAATAATAAAAAAAAAAAAAAAAAAAAAAAAACGTTATACTTGGAAATTAAAGAGAAAAATAAAAAGGGAAGTTGCCAGTCGGCAAATTTAATACTTGATCAATAATTCAACGACCAATTGTTATGAATACACGCTATCTCCTCGTGTAATGGAAGGCAAAGCAAGGCCAAGGGTTAACAATTTTTGGCATGGAGTTACTGTGTTTTTCCCATTTCTCTGTGATTGTTGGCTGGGGTAACAATTTTTACCTTAATAAGATGAAAACCAAATCCAGTATGAAGTAAGTTAATTTAACCATTACTCAATAGGACGTGTTAATGCAATTAGTACTTCAACCGCTCTCTCTCTCTCTTCTCGCTCTCTTTCTTCGTTGAAACCGTCCTGCAACAAACCATTTGCTTGGTCATGAACCGACTGTGGTCGGTAGATGAGAGTGTGGCCGGTCGATGTTGGTCCCATAATTTCCTTCATCGACTTAATTGGTTTCTGTTTGGTAGGTAGTTCCAACCACTTGGTCTGGTTAATCAAACTGTGCTTAGCCCTAATCAGCCTCCAAAACCAATGCACTGCATTGAAATGTGAGAAGTGCTTTTGAATCAACAAAGCATGCACTGCATTGGAATGCGAGAAGTCCTTTGGAACATCCAGAGCATGCACTGCATTGGAATGTGGAAAGTCCTTGTTGAATGAACAATTTTCCAACACTCCATCAATTAATTCTCTTGTTGGTCCTTATTATAAATGATTACCATATGCATTCAGCCTTGCATTCTTCAACTTAAGGTGATTGTTTTCCCAGGTTTCTGTTTATTATTTAGTAATCTTTTTGTTTCCTTGTCATACTCTTGCAGATGGACAACGGAAGATGGCAGGACTTATACAAACACATTGCAAACACACGAACCTAGAGCTGATTGGCAAGTGGAAAAACTTGGAGGTGTTATCATTGGGTTGATAATTAAATTTGGCGAAAATACTTGCAATTATACAAACACATTGCAAGAATTTTTATGGTTTAGATTTGTCCAAAGGCTCTAATCATGGACGTGGGGCATTGTCAATTGTGAAGTTGGGGCCTAATATAAAGTACTTAAATTTGAAGGGTGCAAAAGTTAATTGGGATGGTCTTGTCACGTTGCTGCACTGATGCAAAGATCTGGTGATGTTGGACGCCAGAGATTGGTCAGCTGGTTTCAATGACAACGACGATGGAATGTCAAAGCACATTTGTCTCATATTAGTAAATTTATGTGCGAGGGTTTTGAATTTTCTGAAATTCTTCTTGGTATGGGCAATTTGGTTCTTCCTGTTGATGGAGACTCATTTCATCTGCATGTAGAGGAGACGTCGGATGAAATGCTCAATGAATTGAGCGATGCGTTCAATGATTTGGGCAACGAGGAATGAAGAACTATTTGATTGTACAAAGTGATATCTCATTTTTTTTTATATTTACAACACAATTGAGCAATTATGTGTGCTGAGTGTGGTGCGGTGTTCATCTTGTGTTTTTGGACACTGTTACTTCAATGAGGGCTTGTTATAAGTTCATGTCTTGATTTCATTATAAGATGTTTGCTTAATTTGGAAAATGGTCGTTCAAAATTCCTTCGCTACATTTTCTGTAATATCACATGTGCTCGCGATTGTTCTTTAGCCTTGCCTCAGCCTCAATTTCCCTTCCCACGAAAGGTTTTCCTAGCTAAATTTCTTTGAGGTTCAAGAAAAATTTCTTGGTGAAAAAAGAATGTTGGTTGCACCAGTTTAACAACAGGCACAACCAGTAGACAAATGAAATAATATGTTATATGTAAGGCCCAGTTTGGAATTGCTGTCACTTTAAAAAAAAGTAGCTTTTTGCTGTGATTTGAAAATATTTAGCTGTAAAGTAAAGCAGCTCCATGTTTGGTAAACAATATTTTCAAAGTACTGTTAGTACAAAAAGTAGTGTTAAAACCGTTTGGTAAATTTTAAAATAAAATTTTTGTAATTGTGAATAATGACTAAAATAGACATGATGTTGAAAGTGTTATGTACTAATCATGTGGTGGTAGTGGTGTTGATGGAGTGAAGGTGGTGGTGGTTATGAAGGTGGAGTTGATGGTTGTTGTAGTGGTGGTGGTGGGGGTGGGGACGACGGTTGTGGAGATGGTGGGGGTGGCAACAGTGGTAGCATGGTGGTGGTGGTGGTGTTGGTTGTGGAGATGGTGGGGGACGTGGAGGCTTTGGAGGAGGAGGTGGTTGTGGTGGTAGTGGTAGTGGTGGAGGTGGAGGTGGAGGAGGTGGTGATGAAGGTGGAGTTGATGGTTGTGGTAGTGGTGGTGGTGGGGATGGCGGTTATGAAAGTGGTGGTGGTGGGGGTAGTGGCAGCATGATGGTGGTGGTGGCGTTGGTTTTAGAGATGGTGGATGTGGAGGTTTTGGAGGAGGTGGTGGTTGTGGTGGTGGTGGTGGGGGGTGGGGGTGGTGGTGGTGGAGGTGGAGGTAGAGGAGGTGGTTGGTTGTGGAGATGGTGGT